ATTGCACAGAATCATAAGAAATTGAAGGCGCTCCAACATATTAAAATTAAGGATGTCTATCCTTCCAAAGTACGGAACATTCCTCGAAAAATAAATCAAGATACTATGGCACAAAGAGAGATCGGTGGTCCAAAAACTAACGAAGTCCTAGTATCCGTATTTAGTAACGTTTAGCATAAACTTTATCGTCTGGCTGTTGCTTAGTCGCCATCGGCTATAAAAGGCTATAAAAGGCTATAAGGAATTGTACAACCAGCTACAGAAGCTATTGGAAATCTTACAGCCGGCTTTAGGTCTATGGTATTTTGGAACACAGATTCTACTGCCAATTTTTACCAGGGGACTCCGGCACCTAATTTCACTCGTTGCTTTTTAACAGTGCATGAATTGATGTCATCGTCAATTCTAGCCATTACAATCACATGTTGATTGCGCTTCAAATAATGAAGCAAACTTTGAATTTAAATTAAAATGCTCACTTAAGCGGTAGAAATCATCATAACGACACAGAATGATTCATAATAATGTCTAAAATCGGCACATGAATCAGGATTGAAAGCTCAGAAATTATCGAGACCTATGCTGGAATAACCACCTAAATGCAGGCGTATACGAGATTGTGGTACTAAGCATATCATGTTTTTGATCCTACGGTTAAAAATCCAATTTTAGAGACCGGTGGATGGAATAACCATCCAATCATAAACCGGTGTTTTTCCGCTCGTCAACGCAATCACGCGCTCCACCAATAACGTCACGAGGGCGTCATTTGACAGCCATGCATGATTCATCAATTGTGTTTTTCCATGAATTAATCAGTCATTTTATCCTGAGAATTGATATTGGGTGGAACGAACGCCTATAATAACATTTTTCAAATCCATAACTGTGAATTAAAAAGGGAGGTACTTTCAAAAACTACACAGTGACTTGTTTAAAAGGTCTAACCAATAACCAGGCTGACTTAAGGTTCACTATGGACAATGAGCCAAAAGTATCGTCATTGGCGGATACAGCAAATTGGCAGCATTGTCTTCTCTCCATTTAAACCTATGGAAACGTATCGATTCTTGGAGGGGCCAGGTGCTCCGACTAGAATCGATAATTTAGCATAGCTACACGGAGAAAAAAACTTCGTGCGTGGAACCCAAAGTTGAGGTCATATGGATCTTTGAAGTTTTCGGATCACGCATCTAAAAACTTAAGATCCAGATGCCGAGGTTCGGGTCAGACATCGAGGCACTTCGGTATGTACCGGAGTACTTCAGGTGTGTGACCCGAACCCTTCGGTATAAATCGAAGTACTTCAAATGTCTGACCCGAACTTCGGTAGCTGGACCTCAAGTTTTTTGATACGTGATCCGAAAAGTTCAGAGATCCATGTGACCTCAACTTCGGGTCCCACGCACGAAGTTTTTTTCTCCGTGTATAAATGGAGGGAATCAGATGTTGCCAAATTTCTGGATTTGCATCTGATGTGCACGCTACCGAAGAGGAGCGGGAGGCTTAGACGAAAACTTACTCCACCATGAGACCCAATGGACTCGGTATCCATTTGACGGGACCAAGTCCGAAAACTCATGAGCCCTGGCTTTCGTAGATCACGCAGGACGCTAGGGCTCATGAGTTCATGGACTTGCCCCCGTCTAACGGCAATCGATTCGATTGAGCAACTGCTCCAGAATTTTAAAAAATATTTCATAAGTCTTCCAGCCCTCAACAGATCGAGAGAGAAACTGCAGAAACGCGTAACTTCGCTTGCAGCGTTGCAAAATTCTGGTCATTCTTTAATTTCTGAACAGAAAATTGCTGAACGTTATTTCTTGAAAACTTGGGTTTAAAATTTTCGAATCATGATTTTCGTTCAGTTTTTCTTTGGAAAAAATTAAATCGGAGTGGAGATCCCCCAACGACACAATCGAGTTTCGTGATTTTGTAGTTTCAGAGGCGGATCCAGCAATTTGGATCCCCTCCACTTGAACCTATAATAAATAATCGATTCTTATAAGAGCACCTGGTACCTCCAAGAATCGATACATTTCCATAGGTTTAAACGGGAAAAAGAACAATGTTGCCAATTTGCTGGATCCGCCTAGTGTCCCTTTATACTGAGAGTCAAGACAATGTGAATCCATTTCTGATTGGTTCCCGTATTTTAGGCCTTCACAGTGTCACAAACGGGAATAAAGATTACATTTTCACCGATTGCAAAGATTATAATCTGGAATGGACCAGGGAATCACGGGTTCGGCAAGGAACAAACGGAATGAGAGAAGAAACGGAGAAAGGAATTTGAGAATGATCCAATCGAAGATTACGAAAAACGTTCAATTTCTGTAATCTTTATTCCCGTTTGTGACTCCATGAGTTTATTTGTCTTATTGTCTTGACTCTCAGTATAAAGGGACTCTAGATCCGCCAAGGTGCAGTTTACCGGTCGAGACGAATACAGGTGAAGGCTCGATCATTTCGTATGAAAGACCATTCAGAAAATTTTACTTTAACTTGTCATTACCGCTATTCCTAGGCATGAAGTTATTCATCCCAGAGTTGAAGAAGTTCCCTCCCATGGAATTGAAACGATTCGGTAGTCTGCGAGAAAATGGCGAGGGCATTCGACCACCGAACCCGATCTGCATTTGCTGTCTCCCGAAACTGGGTTCATATCCGCCGAACCTCGAAAAAGTTCTCGAACCACCAAAAGCACCCCATTGGGGGGCGAAAGGGTCACTGTATTCGCTGATATCGAATTGATCGTGGAGACCGTAGCGACTTGGACCTGCTTCTCCAAGACCATAACCATTATCTGAGCCTGCCCCTCCGCGACCATAGGGATTTGGACCCGGGCCTGGTTCACCTTCCTCGGCAGAGATGTCGCCCATCCCGGAAATAAGCTGCGGATCCCGATGGTCGTAGGGGTCTCTGTTCCTGTTAAAATTGGCAGGATTTCCAAGCTCACCAGGAGGTGGACCTGGTTCATCATCTGCTTCCTCAAGTTCGTCTTCACCTCGTTCGTCACCACCTCCGCGCATTTTAGATGTTCGGTGATGGAACGGGCTCGAGGGGTCAACACGTTCAATAGTCCCGACTACACTACTGGAAGCTGGACGTTTTCCTCGCGTATCGCCTCCTGATAGAACACCTAAAAAAAATGTTTTAAAGGCGTTTCGTTTTCATCAGTAAGAGCGCATTTTTATAAGGAATAATTTAACACGTTTTAAGCAATTGTAGGGAACAACTTGAGCATCCTCATTTCTGATAAATGTTCCGAAAATGTTCGTAATTTTAATGTTTATTCTGCGTAATTTTACCATCACGTTGGTAATTAAAGTATAAAGAATGTAGCCTGGTAATTTAAACCACAGTTTTTTTCTTTAGGCAACAGTTCAAAAACTGTGTCCACGAGCCGGAAATAGGTTAACGTGAGAAGAACGTCAATAATCTAAAATAAGGAACGTAGAAGGAGTGACGTAAAAGAAAGAGTACAATTTGTTAGAAGTAAGTGTGCTAACAATATTCCGAGAGAATAATGGTCTATTCCTATTACATTTAGAAAATCTTGCTACAAACTGAAAAGAAGAGAAAAAAACATAAACTAGTTAATAAAACCATTCTGTGCATAATTTTTTCAAACTGAAAATTTCGTTATCCGTCTATTCTCTTTCATCGTATGGCTTTTTTGGATAAAAGGATATGATCCTTTTCATTTATGAGAGGGCGGATGAGAAGTTTTATCTGTAAATTTGTACATGTCCCCTTATCCCCAATTTAGTAGAGGGAATCTGTGATTAGAGAAATTAAGGGGTTTCTCAAAAAAATAAAAAAAGTACGAAACCTAAATAAATAAAGAAAAGGAAATAGTATATATACACATTCCATTTTAACCGGTTTTTGTTTTATGTTTACTTGGAAGCTAATCTTACCAGCAACGCTGCCATTCGCGTGAGAACTTCGTCTCGATCTAGTGTAAACGTAACCATCACCCCAAGGCACTTTTGGTCCGAGATATTCTTCATCGTCGTCCGGCATCTCGTCATCAGCATCATCTGAGAAAAAAAAAGAGAGAGACAAAGACAGTATTTTGAACCCTTTTTTTGTTTTTTGGTTTGGAAGATAATCTTGATAACACTCGATGCGGAAGGCGTAAGAAAATTACTTGTGGACATGCGTTTCCATTTTGACCCGACCCATATTCGACCATATCCCGACCCATTGTTTGATTTCATACCAAAAGCCCTGCTCATGCAGAGCTTGAACTTGAATTGATGAATATTATACTCGCTTTATTTGTTCAAGAATACTCCGGTGACATAATTTGAGAATATATATGTAAATGAATGATGAAAAAAAATCAAATTTTTCTGTAAAGCACTCATCATTACATGACAAAATTTTCACCGGGGTTAAATCATTTAAAAATTGAAGAATAATTACAGAATTTGTTGAATCGCAATCATGGGATTTTTTTTTTTAAAAAAAAATAATAATAATAATAATAAGCCATGATTACTGACAGCAGTTATAAAATAATATAATTGCCACTAAATGAGTATGCCAAACATTTCTGTGGAGTTGAATCGTTAAAAAATTACGGAATTCGTCGTTCCCCCACGAAAAGCGTAACTACATTTCACTGCTGCCAAATTTTATTCTCACAAATTGCGTTTTTCCCAGAAACTCTTAGGAGTTTCTAACTAACAGTTTCACTGATTTTTCTTACAATGAAAAAAAATTGGGAAAAAATCGCGCAGGTAAATTCTTGTAAGAAACTGAATGGTTTGAGTTAATTTTTATAACAGTAATAATTGAGAGGAAAAGTCGCTTCGACTTTGGATGTTCCAGTACTGGCTGCAAATCGATAATGACTCAATAAACTCCTGGAGCTAACACATCATAACGTTGCACGAATGATTTTTTACAGCCTCTATCGAGAAAAAATATGTCACCTAACCCTATCAAAATTTTTAAGCTTAACATGAATGTCGTTATTTATGTTTCAGAATTCGGATGTTGCAGTCTTGGTTACGCCATTTGGATTTTGGTGAGTTGTGAATATCCATAAGACGTAAAAATGTACGTTTCCATCCATTTAATGCCTTGTTGCATAGAATTGCATGAACACATGATTCTTTAGGCGTTTGTCCTTCGTGATATTAATTCGCATCATAAGTTGGGGGGAGGGGGTTGAAATCTAAGTTTCAAACCTTAAAAAATATGAATTTTGGAGTCCATTTCTTTTCGTTACCTTAATGATAATGTCAATGTATATTTTTTTCTCTGAAATCGGTGATCGATTCACTCAATAGAGAAATAACAGAGCTTTCTCTCAGTTTAGTTGCCAGTAGCGTGGTGTACTTCGCAATAAATCGATTGATTTACCGTTTAAACCTATTAAAAGGATCGCTAAACAAGGCGTTTGCAACGAACACCTCAAAAATCGATTCTTTACCATAGCTTCAAATGGGGAAAAATCGATAATCGATCATTCACGCCTTATCACTAGTTCATAGCCACTTAGAAAAGAACAATTAGTATAGATAAAAGCCATTTATTTTCTCACCGTTTTGTAAGCCCCGTGGTATCAAAAGTTTCGCAGAACCTTCGTCATCTCCAGCAATCGCATCTCCATCTCCGGAAACCCTCCCGGCGTCGTCAGCAGCAACCTTTCCACTTTCCGGGAACATTCCTTCAACTTGAGGAGTTGTTTCTTCTCCACTTTTTGAGGCCACCCTCACATTTCCATCGTTGTAAACCAGAGGTAGAACTTTCGCTTGGACTTCTTTCCCACCGACACGTCTCTCCAAACCAGCCTCAGCTCCATCTGCACGATCATCACCTCCTGAAAGGTAGGCAACAGCGATCCCACTTTTCGCGGGCTGGTGGCTCCCTCCGCTGCCGGGCATGGCGTTGACCAACAGGACGCCGGCCACGATGCCGGCCATCAGGACCGCCCGACAAACGTCCCGCGAAGCGTCGAAAAAATCTCCTTGTTTCCGCCGCATGGCACTCGCGGTTACTGTGAGGAGCTCGATCTGCGGTGGCAGATTTAGGTCTTATCACGCCGACATGAAGTGATAGACGCATTTTCGCGGAAAGGGGGATGTAGGGAGAAAAAAGAGAGAGAAAAAAAAGCAACGGACAAAGAACTGGTGATGTTCCTCTCTCAGAAAATCGTCTCTACTACCTTTCCTCTGTGTGGTTGTCAAATTTAATGTAAGACTAATGGTAATATCTGTGCTTCGCGCGGGATTCTCGGGCATCACTGAAAAGAAAAGTTTGGTCATATGAACCAGAAGTTCTGTGTTCAATATCGACCGTATAGTGTTCGGTTCATATAAGTAACCGCTCTCTTAGTTTAATTTTCGTTCCTTAAATCGTGCTCTAAGTAAAATTTTGGTTAAGAATCATGTACCAGATTGCTAAAGTGGGTCAGTTGCGCTGGTCACAGAATCATGTTTTGATGCTCGATTCTTGTAGATTAGCTACAAATAATAAGATCTGTCTTAACAGCAACTTCCTACATATATAGGTTGCTTTATAGCACTCCCTCGCGCTCTACGACTCCTAACCTCCACTGCTCTCTGTCGAACCACAAACCTTGGGGCATTGAGCACCTTAACATTTCTGCTTCAACTCCCTCCCTCCAACCTCTCATCGGGCTCCCTCTGCGCCTTCTCTCAGGAGGAACCCAACAGCACCTGCAACTTTCTACGTTCAAGAATAGCCGAGATATGGCCCTTTGAAAAGTCGGGTTTTTGACGTCATCAACCGCGGTACGGACACCCTTGGTTTCTTCCACCTTACTTCTATTCGAGTTTTACGTCAAGTGTAACTGATGCAAATGTGCGTCACACTGACAGATGAAAGCCACTGACAGATGAAAGCCAGGTGGAAGACACCAAGAAAGTCACTACCGCGGTAGATGACGTCAAAAACCCGACTTCTCAAAGGGCGATATCTCGGTTAATATTGAACGTGGAAAGTTGCCGTTTGGACGGATCTTATTATTTTTAGCTGATCTACAAGAATCAAGCATCAAAACACAATTCTGTGACCAGCGCAACTGACCTATTTGCACCTTGTCTAGAGGTCCAGGCGACCTCACGGTTGATTCTTCTCAGGGTGGCAACTATGTGCGATCGCCGTATGTGAAGCAGGAGCAAGTATTTTAGAAAAAATAGGCAAAAATCAACCATACGGTGAGTGGAGAACATTTGCAAAGTCAGTGAATACTTCGCTAATGATAGCGCGCTGTGAGCATTTCAAACGATGCCCATGTGCCAAGGATAAATCCAGGCCAACAGAGCCCTTAACAAAATTAACCACTATTCATTGTGACTGTGCATGTACAGGTTTTACGATGCATGTTCTCAGGCACTATAGCCTTTTTTAAAGTTTTTTTTTGTAACAAGTATTGAATACTCACCTCTGCATTGGTGAATTACTGATCTGGTAGACACAATATATTTAATGATAGTAATAAACCTGGTGTAACTCGAAAGTCTGGTGGAATTTTTTATTTTTTATTTTAACAAAATAGACTGGGCTTTCAAGACTTCGGAAATGCTTCAAAGTCGTTGTAACTTTTCGCTGGACGACTTGGAAATATTTTTTAGAAATTTCACCAAAGAGTAAAGAAACACAATAATTGCACAATATCTTTAATGATAGTGATAAACCTATAGTGTAATTCAAAAATATAGTGGAATTTTTTATTTATTTATTTTAACAAAATAGATTGGGCTTTCAAGACTTCGGTTATGCTTCAAAGTCTTTGTAACTTTTCGCTGGACGACCTGGAAATATTTTTTAGAAATCTAAGAGTAAAGAAGCGCAGTTCCTCTGTACTTCATAGTGCACATCATCTGGTATGCAGAGGAATAATTTTAGTAGCTTGTTGCGGTCTTCACTTTGCGTCATCTTAAGATTGGAAGTTGCAAAAAGTTGAGCTTAGAAACAAATACACATTATTCAGAGAGTAACGGGTTGATCGATTGGAAGAAAACACAACGAAATCTGTCACTAGTTATGCTGCTCTTTATATAATTTGAATAAAACGAGGTATTTATGAATCAAAATTATATACTCTTAAGAATTTTCAGTTATGACACATTGGTGTACATTCGTTGTAAAAGAAAAAAATATATTCTATTCATAGTAGTCGAAAGTTTTTTCCCGGAGATCTTTCCAGAAGAACCATTTTACGGTTTAATAGAGATAGTTGCAGAAGGCGTTTCAGCGTTCCCAGGAGATGCACTCGGCGGTTTTACTGAAATTATTGCAGCAGGCGCAGGCGTTTCAGCAAAGCCTTGGTCTCCTCTGAGAGCGTTGAATCCTTGGGACAGACTTAGTATAATGCCTCTTAAATTATTGATATCCTCTCCAGTGCAACTGTCCATCGAGTTGTTGGCCTTCAACCTCTTGATGGCTTCGTCCGTGGCTGCGGTCACTTGTTTCTCGGTGTAGGCTGCGAGAGGTATCGGTTTGATCCCCAAGTGTTTCAAAGCTCGGTCCTCGAACTGCTTTAGCTTGTTGATTGCTTTCCTACAGGCGGTCTTCTTCGCTTCCGGGAGCTTCGGGTAGGTTATGCACTGGCAATGGTTATCCTTGCACATACCGGTGAAGGTTTTGTCCGGTGTCAAAGCTTTGCAGAACCGTTTGCAATGTTTGACTTTTTTGTAAGCGGAACAATCTGTGTCATAGCCGTTCATTGCAGCCACTGAAACAAATCAGTATGATTGTTATTGCCGCTCATGCACTGCTGTACTACGGTAAAACGCCAATTCAAGCAATATTGATAAATAATATACAGCCATGCATAAAGAAATTTTACCCGGCTTGGGTCTATTTTAGATACTAGTACATAAATTCATACGCCGAAAAAAAACTCCGGCCGTTGAAGCCGTACTTACGAGCTATATAGACGTACCGACCGTGTTCCTGGCTCGGAAGCCACAAATTCCGGGTGTAGCACCCGCAGCTCTCGAAGCTACGGCTCCAGCACCCGGAACTTTCGGCCTCAGCGAGATCTGGAACGGATGGTATGTCTATATAGCCCGTAACTTTTTCTTTCGGTGTACAACGCATGTTGATGGCGTTGAAATGTGGGTGTCTTGATTACAACAGTTATTAATCTCCATTTGTGTTTTCTCTTTTTGAAGAAATATAAAAAAAAAAAAAACAACTCCTCGAACTAGACTGTGAATATTTATGAAAAAGTGAAGAAAATCCACTGGTAAGGTTGAGCTTCTTCCCGCTGAATTGAGATTTCCAGTTTTCTGGATTTTAACGCATTTTAATGCTGGTTACATTTTTTGTACTGTTAATACGACTCGTGCGTCAAGCCCAATCAGTTTGGGAACTCGTAATCAGTTCTTCAAACAAAACCCGGACAATAGAAAATCAAAATACATACTGAAGCGTTTAGTCAATTGTTTCCTCAACTTCTTCTGCTGCTTTAGAATGCAGGTGCAGTAGCCAGCCTCGCAGATCCCGGTCAATTTTTCGTCACGCTCCACGCATTTGATTTTGCAAATGTATTTCCCGACTTTTTCCGGGCATTGAAACGTCGCGTAGAACATTGATTGGTTCTCGACCATATCTTGCACTGCGCTGAAAACTGAAACGCGATCAGAATATATTACCCAGCAAAGTCCCAATGAGGATCACTTACTCAACATATATGAAGAAAAAACACTCGATCGAAGTCTAACTCAATTGCCAAGACTCCTACCATAGCGATGGCCAGTGCGAAACCACGTATCTCCATAAGCAGAAAAGNATTTCAAACTTACTGTAAATACGACACGTGCGTCTAGCGCAATCAGTTTGGGAACTCGTAATCAGTTCTTCATACAAAACCCGGACAGTAGAAAATCAAAATACATACTGAAGCGTTTCGTCAATTGTTTCCTCAACTTCTTTTGCTGCTTTAGAATGCAAGTGCAGTAGCCAGCCTCGCAGATCCCGGTCAATTTTTCGTCACGCTCCACGCATTTGATTTTGCAAATGTATTTCCCGACTTTTTCCGGGCATTGAAACGTCGCGTAGAACATTGATTGGTTCTCGACCATATCTTGCACTGCGCTGAAAACTGAAACGCGATCAGAATATATTACCTAGGAAAGTCCCAATGAGGATCACTTACTCAACATATATGAAGAATAAACACTCGATCGAAGTCCAACTCAATTGCCAAGACTCCTACCATAGCGATGGCCAGAGTGCGAAACCACGTGCCTCCATTAGCAGAAAAGGAAAAATGGTAGGAAGAAGTAGATAGAGTTAAGCAGAACAGACACATCTACTTTGCAGAGTTTCAAAATATCATCTCTAATCTTACGGAATCTTTGGAAGGAAACCAAAGCACCTGACATTTTTGTGGAAATAACCATAATATGCAACGGCAAGAGAAATCGTCACAATTTTCGACTTGGGATGTTGGTCCAAGAAATTAAAATATGAGATGAGATTTTGGAAGACCGCAGATGTAACGGTTTTGATTGGCTCTATCCAAGTATGGAAGGAAGGAGAGAAAAAATGATGAGAATAAGATGATGTAGGAGGAGAAAGAGGCGGAGTAGAAGTAAGAGAGGAGAAGGGAAAAGAAAGAGAGGAAGGAGAAGAAAGTGGCAAAGAGGAAGAAAAATGAATAATAAGAATTGATTCTTTTTTGTTTCTTCCTCTTCCGTCCGGTTTCTCTGTTCTTCATTCTCCTCTTATGTTTCGTTTCTGATTCGTCTTCGACACAGATCCATAAGGCCTGAATCTGCTGGATTAGTGTGAAAAAATAATTTTTGGGGTGATAGGATAGTGGTGGGTCCAAAGCTATCCTACGGGAATGTAAAAAAAAATTCCAAAAATAGCATTAGAGGTACAAAATTAACTCTGATGCGTTTTTGTGCAAGCCTAAGGGGGAGAGAGTTCAGTCCAGGCAGATGCATTGCAATACTAACGAGACTTACTATACACTGAAACTCATTAGAGTCAATTCAGTGAATCTGATGCTAATTTTTTGGAGAGTTTTCCTCATAGGAACGTGTGGACCCAGCACTACTTTATTATCCTGTTAATTACAGCATTCGGGCCACATTTTGCCGCTCCCTTTATGAAAGAACGTAACTACATTTTGATGTTGCCAAATTTCTCCTTGCAGATCGCATTTCTACCAGCAGAATTTTGGGCATGTCTGACTGAAGATTTTCCCGAGTTTTCTTCTGATTAATGCAAAAATGAGAAAATTTGGGATACCAACTGCACCGGTACGGTCTTGTAAAAATTGAATGGTTGCAGACCAATTTTGCATCCTTGTGATAAAGATACATTCCTTCGTCCGGGGAATGACAGTATGTGGTGTTTTTTTCTCGTGAAATAATTTGGCTCGTTGACCAACGCCCCAAGTAGCAAAGATCGCGATAAGTTGCGATTTGATCGGAGAATGTATCGCGATTATCTCGACATCAATTTATTGCAATATTGTCGGATGAAAAATTGCAATTAATCGTGATTTCATAGCATTTTGCGATAAAATCGCGATTTTATCGACGGCGAAATATAGCAATTTTATCAGACATAAAATCGTGATAAATTGAGATGCAATGGACCACTAGATAAGGTACGAATTTCAGCATTCTGATACATGTTTCTTAACCAAAATTTCACGTAAAACACGATGCACACAACGAAAATTACCGAAATTAACTCCTTACGAAGATATTTAATGATTCTTAATGCGTGAATTCAAACCACCCGCTCATGAAAACACAATGCTCTACGTGATTCACATCGCGCGTTAAACGTTATCATGACAGTCTCTGCGATATAAAAATCTGGCAACCTTAATCTTGACGCTTTGGCTCAGTTATAGCAAATTGCTAATAGTTTGAACAACACATGATGGGAAATGAACATTGCTCGATTGAGAAGCTTGCTGAAACCGTTGTAGTGGGCGATTTGACTCACGTAGAGTTTTGAGTTTCTTGTGAGCGGGCAGTTCAAATTCCTCGTAACCAATGTGAAATAAAAACGTTAATATCTTCGTTAGGAGTTGGTTTCCGTAATTTTCGTTGTGTGAATCGTTTTCTACGTGAAATTCTGGTTAAGAAACATGTATCAGATCGCTTAAATTCGTACCTTGTCTAGTGGTCCATTTCAATTTTGTCAAACGCAATTTTATAAACATAAATTGCTACAAGATTGAAGACAATCGCTCAGTTGTGGATAATCCTAGCGATTTTATCGCTAGAAAATCGTAAAAATATCGCAGCTCAGTTTCAATTTATCGCGACTTTTCCGTCGAAAAATCCTTCTTGGGGAATAGGAATATTACCGCGCGACGGAGGCATTGAGTTGCCCCTGCTCCAATTGTTGGAAATCCCTCGATTAGGTCCAAAAGGATTAGAAGTTCCCCGATATGTTTCCCAGGTCTGAACATGCATGATGCGCTTTGGTTGATTCGGTCTTTGGCTGATTGTCCTGGAGAAGCGCGGGCGTCCAGGTGCGCCATTCCAACCGCCCCAGGGATTCCTCCTCGCGCCGTAGTTATCATTATCATAATGCGAACCAAATTCATCGTAAGTACGCTCCAACCTGCTGTATGATTCTGCAAAAAGGACGAATATATGCTAAAAAAAGAACAAAAGACGGGTGAGGGAGATGGGGTGTGCTCGTAAAAGCTGCATAAGAAACGGTGTAAAAATGGCGTGCACTGAAAAAAAAAAAACACTGGATCTAGAGTCCAGACTCTTGAAAACATTGACAAGAAAAAATACTCTTGATTCGATCAGATTTCTGCTTAAATCAAAAGGAAATCTGCTCAAATTAAGAGGCTTGTTTCTTGATTTAAGCAAAAATCCGATTGAATCAAGAGTCTTTTTTCTTGTCGATGTTTTTAAGAGTCTGGACTCTAGATCCAATGTGTTTTTTTTTCCAGTGTTCCTTTTGTCAAAATGAAAAAGTAGGAATTTGCATTAAATCAAGAGGAACTAAGCGCCGAAATATGCAAACTCATGAGCCGTGGGCAAGTGGCAAGAACGTTGACGACAGGGCTCATGAGTTAAAGTCCCCCGCGACCGGTGTCCCCGGCCGTCGACGCTGACGTCACTGGTGTACTATGATTCCCACTCATTCTTACGACCCTCAACTAATGACCNTACACATATACACCCCTTTCAGCATAATTGGGTCCAAATAGGGTGATTATTCAGTTATATAAACCTGGTTAAATTAAGTTTTGAAGCGAACTTGTCAGAATAAAGCTCTAAACACTATTCTATGATTAGAGTAATTTCAATGACTCCTACAGTTGAAACCGAGAGAATATATCTTAAAGCCACGGTGCAACCATCTGCTGCAGATTCCAAACCGATATACTTGCCTACATATTCTTCGTGACTTTCCTTTTTATTTTCCAAGTATAGTTTTTCCCGGTGTCAATACTTCAGCGATACCTCAAAAATGTTTAGAATCATATTTTTAGGTAGATTTTAAAATGGTTTTAAAATGAGAAGAGGAAGTGTCAACTTCTTGATAAATTGTGGGAGGACAGGGTATTGTGGCGATTAGGCGTCGTAGAGCGCAAGAGAGCGCTATAAAAGCGACTCATATGAATGTAGATTTGAAAAATTTGTCGCGGTATCTTACACGTCAACCCTCTATTTCGGGGGGCGAGGGGGTCTCGGACTTCCTCCCCCATCGAGAGTGCCCACCTTTAGAGGTCCAAAGCCATCGTTGCAAAGCCCTGGGGACTATTGCCCCGTAAAACACAGTCTGTCGCTGTGCGCGGGGCAATGCAACACGAATTTTAATGCGGGCGGGAATGAAAAATACTGTAAGCAATAATTCGTTGTATTCAATTAAAAATCGTTCATTTATTACGTACCGCTAGGGCTGCTTGAGGAACTGTACGAATTGTCAAAGTATGCTCCCCGTTCATCATAGTCAGCATGCCTAGAGAGCCCATATCTGTCGCCGTTGCCGTATGCTCCTGTGAGAATAGTTCAAAACATTTATTCCTCATGTACGATTTTTTCGGAACTTTTTGAAATCAGGAAAAGAATACGACAAAGTGCAAAATAAAAAAAAGTGCAAATAAAGACTCTCGCTTCACCTTTCAATTTTTTGGTAGCTTAAGACGCTTTTCGGACTACTTCGGAGTCCATATTCAGTTCCCGAGCTGAAGATAAGCTAACAAAATTGAAAAGGAAAGAAGTGAGTTTTCAAAATTTATTTTATGTATCAAGTTGAACTTTTGTTGATTCGTATTCTCCAGATACCCGCCATAATTAGCAGAGATGATCAGGAGAAATTGAGCAATTCAGTCAATGTTCCGTGGATTATTTTTAATATGTAAAATAAAATACATTCCTCTTTCGGCTGTATTTTATGTGCAAAAACGGAATTTATTTTAATTATCCTCTCTTTGAATCAATGTGACTTTTCCTAAGAAAAGAGATGGCGCTAGTAAGGACTATCGCGAGGACTTCATACTTCACACATCAAGTAAAACTAACGAAGTAATTATTATATATTTTCATTTTTTTACCATACCTATCATGAGCATGAAAGCCTAAATAAAGCTGAAAAGCAGTAAAGTACTTGCTCAGCGGTCACACCGTATTTCTAGCTACTTGGATGTATGGGCTTAATGCACGAAAGTTGAATATGCACTTGCTTGCAGGAAACCTCGTGCTTTAGAATATCAGCGCTAATGAGGCTTCACCTAATTAAGTTTTTATCTGATAAAATAGAGAATCGTGTAAAACGCACGTCAAAGCGTACAAAACAGCAATCTGGAATTTATAGAAATGGAATTCCTAGGAAAAATAGCACGCGTTATGTTTGCGGACAGGCAAACCACCGGGTTTGTTCGCCAAAAGCACTTATATGCCAAGTCCAAAATACAGCTGAATAGACCTCGATGTGCATAGAAAAATGTGACCGGAACACATTGAGAGGATGGATAAGAAAGGCCAGCTAAAATTTCTATGAGTTGAAGAATTCAAGATCCCAAGCAACCTGCGGGTTGATTATTGAAATTGATAGACAAAGCAATTGACAACGAAGACTTAGGAAGTGAGGAGAGATCCTGTTGGTTGAAATGGGTGGTTCGTATAGACTGAGGGAGGAAATGATGAACTAACTATAGGGTCTCTCGTGGGGTTACCGTTAACTGGACCGAGTTTATCAGAAAGGAACCAACCCACATTTTTGAAAAAATTGAGTTAAGAATGTTTTTGAGTTCCACTAGTCGTATATTTTCTTCTGCCAAAAACTCAAAATCGAAAA